AGAAAAGTTTCACTTTAACTTATCAAAAAGTATGAAAACTGATAAATCCCTTATCATTTATGATGTATGAAAATTGAAAAAAAGAAATTTTATTATAACAATTTGATTATATTTCAGGATTGCCTGTACTTCCTTCCTTCCTTTCCAATCTCACAAGTTATCGTACCCATATTTTTGCATGATGTGGAAGCCGTAGGACATTTTCCACCTCAACAACTTTGAATAGTAAATCCAGCCAAAGATTGGATAAATAAATTTTAGTGAATCTCTTTCAAACATTCACGCACTTCCACAACAGCAATCATCTTATGGCCCATTAAAATTTGTCTACCTAATATTTTATTTATACATACAATTTAGAATTAACTGAATGCTTAGAAAGAAAACGAAAGTGCTACGTAAGTAAGAAACAGTTTTATTCTAACAATAATATAGCAAATAATACGAAGATGAATGCTCTGAATTCACACCTTTCAAACCAAACAAAAATGACACAAAAATTAAGAATTTGGAAGCAATAATTCAATTATGAATAATTGGAAGTGCATAAATCTTAATTTAAGCATTTCTTATGTAACTGTTCAAGTAACCGATACAAGTCAATTAATTATTTATCTCATTAATTAGTCAATAAATAATTTCATAAAGTGTTTAAACTAAGATTTAGTTCAATTTCGCTTAAAAAGTTTCTTTTTAATTTAAATATAAATTATTTAGAAAAAATTTTGGTTGAGAAAGTGTTACTTGTTAGTAGAAATAATTCAGTTTCTGACATGTAAATAGATGTCAATATGTTAAATTGTTCTGAGTGACATTTACGATGCCAGATAAGATTGCACTAACTGATAACAGGCATGTAGAAGAGTTAATGATGATCATAGTTTGCTGTTAACCTCAAGGACAATATTCACATATTGGAATATATGTAAATTATTACCTTACGTAATTTATTTACTCTTTTTTCACACGCAATAAAACACACAATGCCGCAATTTACTAAGGTAATTAATAGTTTTGTCAGAAACTAAAAAACACAGTTATACATTACTAGTAACATTATGCGAGAAAGTTTTTGATTCTTGTCAGTAAAAACTTGTAAAGTAATATCTGTAGATGTAGATGTAGTCTTGCCTTGAGATATAATTACAATACTACTGAATTTTTCTTGAAAAAGTTTGATTACTTGAAGGAAAAAGAGCTTAATGATATGACTGGCATGGATGTATTTGGCTGAAATTTTCTCGCTCAACACTTGCTAAGTAAGCAACTTTGAGAAGTAAAGTTTTCCATGAAATATTTCTTTGCTAGAGAAAATATATTTTTTCAAGGCAAAAAATGTACATTTACTTAGTGTAAATAAAACTATATATTCAACCAATCATTTCTGATACATTTGTAAAAGTAATTCGAATTGTCGATTAATTTTATATTTATATTAAAAAATGTAAGCAAATAAATTTATTCAAACAAAAAAGAAAAAAGAAAATTGAACATCAAAAAATGTACAATAAAACATATGATATTGATCAGAGTGGTTATAATAACGAGTGGTATTTCCCAGATGGAAATAAATTATGCAAATAAATCAATCTTTTCTGCTGTCAAAAATGACGAGCCAATGATAAATTTATGATCTAAGAGTGGAAATAGTGTGCATGTAAAATATGCAAATAATGATAAGAATTCCTGTTATTTTACCTCTCAAAGCATGTAGCTGAGTCTGAGCTGACTTTACTGAATCAAAATGTACGAAATAAAAAGCACAGAGTTATCAATAACATCGAAGTTAGTCGTAAATTTTTCCAAATAAAATGATTAAAAGTCTTCAGAGTTGGCAGACATCAGCTAGAACTTGATATCAATATGGAAGTAAAAGTGTGATACATTTATCAGTGATAATAACACTGATAACAGTTATAATACTAGCTTATGCAAGTAACAAGGAACAATAACAACAACACCTCAAATGATTAAGAATAAAAGTCTAGAAGAGTTTTATAGAAACACAAGCACACCTCAGTTTACATAATTGTCGATTGAAGAAGGAAACGAATAATTTTAGTAATAAAGAAGATGCAAAGAAAATTATTGCCAATTTCACCTGCTAATGATACGGTAATTTTCGTCAAATTACACATTGCAGACGTGAACATAAATTATGATGAACGGACAAACGCAAATAAATAAACAACTGGGAAAGGCCAAATAGCAAAAATAATAGCAAGTGAATATGAATTATTGATGGATTAAATTCAGTGAGACATTACGCAAAATATAAAAGACAAAAAAAATATTTTCCACCTACAATAATGTTTGGTTTACGAACGAACAATGGCTTGGTTTGATCTGCTTTTGAATTGGTTGATTTTGCGTGTTTGAAAATTAATTATGTCTGTCTGAGAATGAAGAAAAAACTGTGTGTTTTTTGGATAAATATAGCATGTGATGTATAATTCAAATACGACACGTTCTTTTCAAGCAGTTGACGAGTGAAATGTCAAGCAATTACCAGCCATCATTCTTAGGTCTTATTATCATCGTTACATTTACACATACGCATACATACACATATACATACGCAAATTATATGTCATTTTAGTTGTGTTGACAATTTAGCCAACTTTTTGGGCGATATTTTCACCTCAGTGAAATTGTCGGATCACCTCGGGTTTTGTTTAGTTTGTACATTTTTAGTTTATCCTTGCCCTCATCCATCCATCCATTCATCCATCCATCCATCCATCTAACTATCAATCCATTCATTTATCATTATGCTTGATTTCGTCTGTTAAATCCTTAAATGATACATGCCAATCATCTTGTGATCAGTACTTATCATTTTCTTTATAAAATCAAAGTCTTGATATGTCATTTGGAATTGCAATGATTAACTTTATCGCACTTGTTAAAGTTTTGTGTTTTATTACAGTCAAACAGTATTTTTGTCAGTTAATTTTTTAATTGTTAAATTAAATTCGTTGTAATTTAGTATTTTTGGTAATATTTATGATTTATTTAAAAAATTTGACAAGTTGATGCCTTTTGAATAATAAACAATGATAAAAACTATTTAATTTCACAGTAAATATATATCAAATTAAATACCAAATTATCAGTTCATTGAGTGAAAAAGATCAGTTTTGATTTGTGATAAATACTTGTTGCAGAAAAACTACGAGCTAGAATCATTAAGATATTCTTCCGCTGCTTATTATTCAATTCCGCATATTATAAGCTGTTCACTCAAGCATGAAAGCCGATGCACTTCTCCAAATTTTCGGTTCAGAGCTTCAGAAAAAGTAAGCAAAATTACTCTTACATACCAATTTACTAAAGTTCGTACAGCAAAAGATGGCATTTTTATCATCGTAATAAAGTATTACTGCTAAAATATATAATAATTCTTGCACAAAGTATTTGAAGGGAAATTTTTTCCATACAAATATTTTTCTCGAATGAATTATTTTTCGTAGAATGAAAATTTTTGTTTAATAATTAAGCAAGCTAAAACATACAAACAAACAAAAGTTGCTTCATTTTTCGTATATTTTTATTGAGTTCTGCAAGTATTATTTATAGAACACTTTTGGCAAGCATCGACAAGTTTGTATGTATATTCGACTGTATTTATTTTTGTACAAGTGACCAAATACATTTTTAAAGTTGAAAAACTTATCAGATTCATAATCTCATCTTCTTTTATTTTGTTTTGTCTCTACAACATTGTTTCTCTAAAATTAATCCTATGTAGATAGCTGCAAAAGGCGCAATTTTGCTTCGGTTATCAACTGGTCCTTCTGTCCATTACCTTTTATATCATTTAAACTCTATTAAAAATACATTATACTCTAAGAAACTTCAATATTTGCTGTAGTATTGACTCACTGGAAGTTATTGAAACAAAAATTTGTTACCAAAACACTACTGAATTTATGTGATAAATTGAGAAATCGATACTTTTGCGCAGTGATTTACGCGAAAATGCACATGAACAAGCGTGTGCAAAAACTTGCAAATTTTTTTAAATATTCACATATCTTTGTTATTATTATAGCCTCTGAATTCTACACGTTTCTATGTGCATCATACATAATTGCATGAATATACATACGTACGTCATTCAGAAATTCCTACCCAAAGTATACTTTTTTAGATCAGTTGATGGACTGATTTCATATTTCATGATCAAGCTTTTGTAAATATTTACAAGTATAGCGTACGTACTAATACCGAAAATGATTTTTGAATATGAAATTGATAAAGCTAATATGTAGGCATATCATAACATTCAAAATTTATAAAACAAAATTTTTAAATGTAAAATACTTCAAAAAACTGTAATAGTACCTTCTTCTTCTCAGGTGAGCATTGATAGAAAAGAATACGCAAGAAAGCACACTATAGCTGGTTGCGACATCAGACAACTAGAAGTAACCAATCAAAAAAGGGGGCGAAGTCATGTAAAAACCCGCCTATTTTCTATGTATCTTTCTGTACCTCATCTTTCTGGCTTTGTATGTGTGGGGTGGAGTGGGGTGGTGCTGAGGTAGTTAAAAATATCCAATCTTTCGAGAATCCCTTTATTACCTTGCCTTCCCAATGATTATACTTATTATCTAAATATTTCTTCATTTGCATGTCTGCACGTATAAATATACGTGTGCGTGGGCGTGCGTACGTACAATTTCTTACATCTTTTTATTTGATAGTAGCAAAATTTGGTTAGGAAAAAAGATGCACAACAAATACTGCAAATACATTTTCTTGTCATTTTCTTCATTCACAAATGATGCACACAATAATGATGTACCTGTGCAGTAATTATTCCTCTCAACTACTTGTTTAAGTTTATTTCATCAAAATTATTAATAATAATTCTTCTTCTGCAGCATTAAACGTTATCATTTACGGATAAAATATTGGGATCAGCTGTGGAACTTGAATATTTTTTACGTGGTCAAGTAAGCTTTGATAACGTAAAATTTTCACGTGAACTGGAGATGGATCAAAAGGGAGCAACATTTCCTGAATATAGTGCAACATCATTGCCGCCATCATCGAACCTTTACAATGTTGGCCCATCAAATTGTTATGCTTCATTACAACAATCATCATCAAGTACTACAATTGCAAGTACTCATGATTTTTCACGTGGTACTGCACCTATGTCATCATACTTTTATCCTAATTCTTCTTTTCCTGCTTCTGCATCAGCAGCGGCTGCAGTAGCTGCAGCAGCAACAGTTTCCTGTCCTCCATATGGTAGTAGCGCTGGTGTTACCGCTCCACACTTCATGTATCATCAACAATCTGCTAGTTCACCTGAAGGTAATTTGTGTTATCTAAATGCATAACAATTATCTAAATTATCTAATTTACATAATTACACCGCAAAAGAAATGACAAAATCATCGCAAAATTACTATGATGGCTCTAATTTACACCTATTTGCAATAAAACAATTAACATGCAATGTCAAGATGGTTATAAATTATGAAAATTATAGATATCGCCTCTCATTGTTGATAATAGGAATAGTGATGATTATATTTTTAAAATAGCGGTAATCATAATTAAGGTAATTAGGGTAATGATGTCTTAAAATCCACTAATTCACATTCCCGCCCTCTACTCTATTTTCAGTGTGCTTTAGTTTTTTACTTTTTGATACTCCAAGCCGGTTCCATCCTGTAATGCTTTGTTCATATAATTACTGGTTACTTTTTAAAAATTACAACCAGCTAGTATTTTACTCTCATAATGTCTTATTCATTCGTCAGTAATGCAAAACTGATGCAATGTTACTTTCGAGTCAACAACTTTTCTTTCCTTTTTTGTTCTTTATACTTATTATTTTGTATTTACGTACTGCATTTTTCATCATTTAAACTAACTTTCTTTTTGTGGTCTTTTTTCGCAGCTAACACGCAAATGTCTGTGAAAGTGTGGAGGAGATGTTTTAGTTTTGACTTTGTTTAGCTAAGACTGACTACCTTTCAAGTTTACTTTTTGTGTTTATTCTTAATTAATTAGGCAAAACTTTTCATTAATTTTCACAATTTCTTAGAAATCTTTCTTGTGCTAATTACTTTTTGCAATTTCGTCAAAAAATTTTCAGCAAATTTCAACTCAAAAATTTACTATTCAATACTTTAAATTTCAAAACATTTTTATACTAAAAGGATTTTTATTGAAACTTTTTAAAATAAATTTTTTACTTAGGATGAATGTATTTCTACTAAGTATATATATGATTTAAAATTGAATAAATAACTTACCGTAGCAAATGGTTTTTGTGTAAGCTTTTGAGTTTGTAATTGATGAGGAAAATGCTTCAAATGTTAACTGATAAAAACCAAAATTGCTTAAGTATGTTTTTCAACAAATTAATAGTGTAATAATTGAATGATTTCAAATTCATTGAGGAAAAAATTGAAATTTTTGAAAGAATTTGAAGGAATGATTGCTTGAAGTAAAAGTTTGAAACTGAGCTAAATTTTGAAGTAAAACTTGAAATGAACAGTGCTAGATGACTCATTTTGTATATTTGTTCGGAATATATTGCATATCAAAACCGGTCTAATGAAATGATGCATATAATAGAATTTGATTTGTTTTTTCATTCACGTTTAAGTTCTGAGAAAATGTAAATTTCACACAGCAGAAACGTTTTTTGGTACAATGCCTAAATCATAAATTTATAAATTCATGAAGAAAGCACTTTTTATCAAAAATTATTGTTTATTTTTTTCCAATTTCAAATGTTCTTAAGATTTTTCAGAAAATAACTCACATCAATGCATGATAATATTGAATGAATATTTAGAACAAAGTTTCTACAAATTTGCAAAAATTGTAAAGTGAAATTTTGCTCTATTGCATGAAAATATTTTCAGAGCATTCAACAAAGATTATTGAGGGCGGCGAGGTCAGGATCAATGGGAAAGGAAAACGTGTACGTAAGCCACGGACTATTTACACCAGTCTACAGCTTCAAGAATTACAAAAAAGGTTCCACAAAACACAATATTTGGCGCTACCTGAACGGGCTGAACTTGCTTCACGGCTGGGACTTACCCAAACACAAGTTAGTTCTTTTAAATATTTCTATTGTGTAAGTACTATTTTTAATAACTGGCCTTAAGTTTGCACAATTTAAAGAAGTATCAATTCTGGTCATCATTTTTGTTGAGTATATGTATGATTAAGTCAAGAAAGTTTTGATTAAAAAGCAATTAAAAATGAACAAATATTAAAATAATATATGTAATTATTGATCGAAATTGATTGTTTTTTTCAAAAAAATTGAGAATAAATAATTCTTTGCCGAAACAGTCATAAATTCTATCGCGTCATGCTTTCTGAACTGGGCTGATTAAGCTCAACTAAAATGCACTCTGAAAAAGAGATCGCATTATTTTCTTAGCTTAGCATTCGAGCGGATTATCTTAGATTTTGCAGACGCACGCATGCGTCTAATACTGTTGGCGGTTGATCTCGCCCAGTTGGCATTATTTTTCATTCTTGTGCTTTTTTGACCTAAAGCAGTCCATTTTCTATCTTTGCTACATTTTGATTGAGAGCTTTCACTCAGAATCCATTTTGTATTCAATCCAGGTAAAACTGAAGTTTGAGAGATGCCCAAAGAGGGAATTCTAATTGACTAATTTAAGAGATCTTTTTATTTCTAATTGAACAATTGTAAAATAACTTCGTCGTGCAGTAATATTCTGAATTTTTGAGTGCCAAAAGTGTTAAGCATTTATTTTAAGTTAACAGTCATTTATTTTGATGGTTTGACTGCATAAATGTCTGCATAAAAGGTAACAATTGACTTTATAATATTGAATGATTTTTTGATTTCTTGATCTGTCATATTGAAATCAATGTTTTTTGGATTTACAATTTATAGGTTTTAAAAGTTATCTATAAATTTTTTAAAGATATGCATAGATTGCTAACCAATTCAAGTTCATATCATTTTTGAATTTTTAGAAATCTTGTTTTACTCTATTTTTTACTTTATCAATTAGATGAAGAAAATTTTTGAACTAATATAATGAATATGAGGCGCAAAAATTTCAGACAACAATAATTAGATTCGTAAGTAGCACTTTAGAGATGTAAAGGGATTTTTACTGGAAAATTTTTAAAAACCTTAATGAGTACTTTGAATTTTTGCAGCTCTCAATTTTCTCTTAATTGAAATTAAATTCTATAACAATTTTGAAAACTGATGTTTGTGCGCATATATCCTACTTTCGTAGCAATTTTAACTCTCGTAGTTGATTATTAATCCTTCTGTTTACTTACTGCAAAAAGTTTTTATGTTTTTGAGATTGTAAATAACTCCAAGACTAATATTTTTACTCCATCTATCTATCTATCTATCTAGTCAGTTTTCATCATTTGTAGTATTTTTCTTGTTGGTTTCTATTTCCTACTTAGTTATAGGTACCAGTGGTGTTAAATGGTTGTCTTTCACTTGATTAGACGAGTTTACCACTACAGAGAACCACTAGTTAAAAATTTGAAACTTGAAAATTTATATTTTTCCCAACCGCATAATAAATGGATCAATTAAACCGGCCAATCGTAAATGTCCTTTTAATCAGTACACTTTCTCATTGTTATCACTAAAGTCTATGGTACGGTAGAAAAAAGGTGTAAAAATAAAATCTTTTTTTCCGGAAGATTTTTCTAGAAAAATTTACCACTAACTATGAAGTAGTTTTTTTCTTTCAGTCTTGAGAAAGCTTTGATCAGTGAAAAACCTTACTTTCTGATCTACCATTATTAAATGCGCAACATACAAAATGAGGTAAAAATAATTCAATTTATGTTTTGCGCACTTATGCCTGCTTAAGAAAAATTGGCCTAACTTTGAATTGAACTGATAGCACTTTTTCAAAAGATTTCATCTTAACTTGAATCTTCGCAAACAATTGTTGCTGAGCATAGGATTGATTCTTCAAGTTAGAATATCATAAATGCAAAAGCAAACTTGCTGCAAATAACACACTTCATAAAAATTTTTATTCTCTACAAGTAATAATTTACAATTTTTTACTCGTTTATTGATTTGTAAGGAATGAATTTAAAGTACGGATTCAGTTTTGATTACATTTATTCTACTTCTATTACATCTTTATGAAAATGTGATGTGGTGGTCAGATGTGTCAGAATATGATATCATCAACATTGAGCCGTCACAGATATCAGTTGGGTATTTCTACTTAAATTGATACTTTATATAAGGAAAGTGAATGTCATGATTGTTAACTCCGATAAGCATGTGAAAACGACGTTTTCATCTGAAGTCTGTAGCTAATCTTCGACTATTTTTGATTTTTATCAAAAATTATTAGTTGTTACTTTTCTTTCACTTTGCTTAGATGCAGTTTTATTCAAATATATTCATATATGACAAAATTGTATCCAACACAACCTAAAAAAATATCTATAAAGGTTTTGATTAGGAAGCACAGTTAGGATAGTTTTTTCATTTTGTAAAATAATTTTTTTCGTTTACTTCATTTTATGTTTTTAACTACAAATGGAAACAGTATGTGATGAAAAGTTTGTAGATTGAATTAAATTAAAAAAGTTACTTACTTGTAAAATCAATTAAGTTTTGAAAGTTTAATTTGCAATTAGCAATTAACTAATTAATTTGGCTCCTAAAATTCTGAACATTTTCCTCATGACAGATGTGTTTCATTTTGCTATTCGTGTAAATCATATCTAGCACAGAATCAAAAGCCAACGAACACAGTGATATGGTTGAGGTGTTTTGTTTCGGTTCAGTGCTTTTGTACATTAACAAAATATAAGGCATAAGTTGGAGAGGTCGCATCTTTCTTGAATTAATAAAAAAGGCTGAAGCTGTGCTCAAAGAAGGAAGGAAATGGTAGCACAGATTTAAGCCGAAACCAGGAAGGTAATCAGCGATCTCAACCAAGTGTATTATAATACATTATTGTCAACACGTTATCTCTACAAAGAATCTATATTTCTTAGCATCTGCACCTGTCATCATATTACCATTAATAAAAATTATAACAATATTATTGTCAATTTCATTAATATTGATTAATATTGCTGTATGGAATTACGGAAGCTAAGCAACAGGTGAAAATCTTGACTGTTAATGATTTTTTAGACTTATTGCAAAGTCTAACAGTTATTTTAATTATTGCAATAAAATGTAATGACACCAGTCGAGAAGTAAAGATGAATTAGTATGGGACAGTAGTAAAGTCTTGACAAAAGAATACTTCGAATGCTAGGGAAACATTTTGCAGTTGAAATTATTGCTTCATTTGTTCTTTTAAGATGCTATTAGTTATCATTTGTAATTAAAAATAGCTCTATGATGTCATAAATTTCTTTTTAATGCCTGAAAAATTATCAGACTTGATAATGATGATGTAGGTAGGTACTGTTATACCATTACTAATTAGAATGTAGGTATTTATGGACCAAAACGATTTCTTGATGATGATGTCTATAGTTCGTTAATGACGTTTGACCCTTGGAAAAAAATTACATATTTCTTGCACTCACTGATTCATACCTTCTCAATTTTAATTTTTACTGAAAAGCGTTTTATGACCTAAATTGGGTAATCTGTCATTAATTAATGAAATCTTTGTCAAGTACGATTAGCCATCTTTCAGTTTGATCTAGTCAGAACCACATGAGGAAAGAATATTATTTAATTAATTCATTTCTCATTCTATCAAACATTACTATACCAGTTTCGTCATTATTGATATCAATCAAAATTTTCATTTTCGTAAAATTATAAAGAAGTACGGTAGTTATTGAATGAGTGCATATTTTGTGCGTACGTAATTGTATCATCAACCGATTATATTCTTCCAAGGAGCATTGTAATCATAAAAAAGAATCAAAGTTTATAAGTAAGTTTTCATCAAAAAACTTGATCGAATAATCAATCAGTTGATCAAAAATACAAAAAAACAATGTTTATATACACTTCATTACATTAGTTTTTAGTGCAAAAGATGTTCATATTCGATCCATTTATTGTTTTCTTTTTTCATGTAAAAAAAGTTATTTACTGTCATTTGGCATATTTTTATTTCAATTTTGAATTGACTTTAACTTTTTCATTGGTTATTTCATGAAATGAAAAGGGAGTGATCGAATCGCGCTGCTCCTTTCCTCTTCCTGTTCTTTGTTACTCCTTCATATCTACCGTATCCTCTGCTTTTATACTCACTGACATTGGTGAGATTAAGTACTGTTGCTATTTTTATAATTTCAAATATTCATGCAAGGAAGTGAATTTAAATGTTAACTTTAAAATACTAGCAAATGTGTGGCATTTCTAAACTGTTCTATGAGAAAAAATTGAGACATATGTGCAGAAGTGCAGAATTAAAAAGATTTTTTGCTCATCGATTTGAAAAGAATGAAAATTCAAGTTATTATGATTTGCAGACATAAATAAAAAATCATAATTTGCTAATTAAAAGTAAAGAAGGAAAGTATTTTTGCTAGTATCGAACTGAAATAGAAAAAGCTTTGCTAATTTGAATGTATAACTATTAATTTGAATAAATAAATATTTGGCAACTAATAAGTTGTAAACAAATTTTTTCAATTTTATATATTCAATTTTATATTGAAAAAATTTGCCATTTTCATTATTTTAAT